AATGTAGTCTTTATTTACATTTTCCTGATAGCTCAGAGTGTTAAATACTTCTCAGCTATTTGCATTTCATCTTTTGAGAACCTTCTGTTTGGTTCCTTGCCCTGTTTTTCAAATAGCTTGTTTTCTTGACATTTAGTTTCCTGAGTTCTTTCTGTATTCCAGATACCAGTCCCCTGTCAGAACTTATAGCTAGAAAAGATTGCTTCCTATGTTGTAGGCTGCATTTTCACCATAATAATGGTGTCCTTTGCTGTGCAGAAGCTTTCTGCTTCATGTGGTCCCATTTGCCAAGCATTTGATGGGATATATCCAGTTTGATGAAAGGACATACACTTTTATTTAAAAAGTTATAAGCATATAATTTTTAATTCACATAGTTTTGATGTTTTATTAATTCTTTGAGAGTTTCATATGTGTGTACAATACATTTTGATCGTATTCACCCCTCTACTCTTCGTCCAACTCCTCTCAGATTCAACACTCTAGCTCTCCTTCTGACTTCCTGCCCTTATTCCTTCTTTCTTTCTTTCTTTCTTTCTTTCTTTCTTTCTTTCTTTCTTTCTTTCTTTCTTTCTTTCTTCCTTCCTTCCTTCCTCTGCGTAGCTTTGCACCTTTCCTGTATCTCGCTCTGTAGACCAGGCTGGCCTCAAACTCACAAAGATCTGCCTGTCTCTGCCTCCCGAATGCTGGGATTAAAGGCATGTACCACCAACGCCCAGCTGGATTATTCTTACTTACAAATGCCTGGCCTTAGCTTGGCTTATTTCTAGCCAGCTTTCCTTAACTTAAATTATCCCATATACCTTTTGCCTCTGTGTTTTTAATCTTTCTCTATTCCTATATACCTTTCTTTACTTCTTACTCCATGGCTTGCTGTGTAGCTGGGTAGCTGGCCCCTAGTGTCCTCTCTCCTTTTCTTATTCCTTGATCCCCTTCCCAGATTTCTCCTTCTATATATTCTCTCTTCCTGCCAGCTCTGCTTGTCCTTTCTCCTGCCTTACTATTGGCCATTCAGCTCTTTATTAGACCAGTCAGGTATTTTAGACAGACAAAGCAGCACAGCTTCACAAAGTTAAACAAATGCAACATAAAAGAAAGCAACACATCTTTGAATCATTAAAAAAAAATGTTCCGCAGCATGAATAAATGTAACACATCATAAAATAATATTCCACAACACTATCTGGTAAGGGTTCCATCTCACAGAGTGGGCTTTAAGTTGAATCAGGTATGGGTTGGTGACTCCCATAAGCTTTGTGCCACCATTGCCTTATCATATCTGTCAGATAGGATACTGCTGTAGATACAGAATTTGTTGCTGGCTTGGTGTTCATGTCTTTTTTGAGAGCGTGAAGAGTACCTTACCATACCAAAGATGCTGGAACATAGGGTGAAGGCTCTGTGTAGGCACTGGCTCAACATCTCCATCATTAATGAGTTGTATAGATGTTGTCTTTAGCAATGGGGCCTTGCCGGCAGTTTGTGGAGAGCAACCTACAGTCTTGGTAACAGCTGGAGTTGTTTGGGGATTCCTGTAGGGCCCCTTTGACCAACAACTCAATAAGATTAACCCAATACAGGTACTGGAAGCTTTGTTTGGTGACAAGAGATGGCAAATTGGAATGATGACACACACCCCTCCATTATTTGGCAATTTCATTTAGATCACCTTCATCGATGTATATATTTTAGAAAGCTTCTATTACATTAGGTTTCCATATGTGATAGTTTAAATGAAAATGGCCCCATAGGCTCATGGGAGTGACACTATTCGGAGTTGTGGCCTTGCTGCAATAGGTATAGTTTTGTTGGAGGAAGTGCATTACTGAGGGTGGGCTTTAAGGTCTCAGAAGTTCAAGCCAGGCCTAGTAGCTCAGTCATTGCCTGCTGCCTGCTGATCCAATCCAGATGTAGAGCTCTCAGCTACCTCTCTAGCACCATGTCTGTCTGTATGCTATTACATTTCCCACTATGACAATAATGTACTAAACCTGTGAACTGTAAGCCAGCCTCAATTAAATCTTTTCCTTTAGAAGAGTCGCTGTGGTCATGGTGTCTCTTCACAGCAACCAAGACCAAACAAAGACACCATACTACCTTTTAAATGTCCCTTAATTTCTGCTGTCTCTCTCTGTATTCCTCCCACAATCCCCTCCCCACTTGATCCTTCCGTTCTAGCCCCCCACATCCATCCATAACTGTCTATCCTACTTACCTTTCCTAAGGAAATCTATATGTTCCCTCTTGTCCCTTACTCTATATCTAACCTCTGTGGTTCTATAGATTGTAGCTCAGTTATCATTAACTTCATAGCTGATACCCACATATAAGTAAATGCCATATTCATCTTTGTGAGTCTGGATGACCTCACTCAAGACAAGTGTATTTTAGTTCCATCCATTTCCCTGAAAATTTCACAATGCCTTTTTTTAACAGCTGAGTAATATTCCATTGTGTAAATGGACCCTGTTTCCTTTATTTATTCTTCTGTTGAGAAACATCTAGGTTATTTCCCATTTTTGGTTATTTATGAATGGAGCAGATCATTCAACACCTGTTTGGGGTACAGAATAAGTTCAAGGCCAGTCTTGGCAACTTAACTAGACCTGCTCTCAAAATAAAAAGTAAGAAGAGTTCTAAGGACTGTAACTCAGTGGTAGAGAACTTGCATAGGACATGTGGGGCCCTAGCTTCAACCCCAAGTTGTACAAAATAAATAATTAAAACAAACAAGCAAGGAATATATTGCAGCTGCAGAAGCAGCGAGGCTTGCCAGTGTGTAGATGGGAAGGACTAGAGTCAGGCCTGGGACAGTACACAGAAAGGAGGACTGTTCTAGAAAGAATGCAGGAAGTTCTTAGAGGGCTCAGGTCTCCATGGAAGGAGGATGGGGAACTGCCTCCCAGGAAGAAGAATGATGATAACAAGGCAGAGGTACCCTGAAGGCCAGTTTCCTCCTGCATTGGTACTGTCTAGGCTGCTTGTGGCCTCAGGCCACTGAGGACATTTGTATCTTAACTCCATGTTTGTTTATCCGTGGTATATCTAAGGGCAAATAGAAGTGATACATCTCCTGATACAATATGGAGCCAGACCCTGCTTGGTGACTGATGTGGGCTGGACCGCAGCTCACTTTGCAGCTGAGTCAGGCCATCTGAATGTACTCAAAATTCTCCACGCACTGCATGCTGCCATTGATGCTGCTGACTTCTTTGGAGATACACCCAAGAGGATCGCACAGATCTATGGGCAGAAAGCCTGTGTGGACTTCCTGGAGAAGTAAGTACTGTGTTTTCCCAGAGATAGAAAGAAGCCTGTAATGGAGTTTTTGTCCATTGACCAATCTCAGAGAAATGAAAACAAAACAAAGAGATCTAACCCAGAGGTTCTCAACCTTCCTAGTGCTTGGACCCTTTATGACAGTTCCTCATGTTGTGGTGACCCCCGAACCATAAAATTATTTCGTTGTTGCTTCATAACTGTAATTTTACTGCAATTATGAACCATAATATAAATATCTGACATGCAGGATATCTGATATGTGACCCCAAGGGAGTCATGACCTACAGGTTGTGAACCCCTGAACCAACTGACTGGTATCATAATTTTTTTAAATGATTATTTACTTTTATTTTATGTGTATGAGGTTTTTGCCTGGGTGTATGTATGTGCCAAAAGAAGGTGCCAGATCCCCTGGAACTGGAGCTACCAACTGCTGCAAGCAGCCATTTGGGCTAGGAAGAGAAGGTCCTCTGCATCGCTCTGTATAAATAAAACATCGATTGGCTAGTAGCCAGGCAGGAAGTATAGGCAAAACAAACAGAAAGGAGAATTCGGGGAAGTGGAAGGCTGAGGCAGAGAGATGCTGCCAGCTGCTGTGACGAGAAGCAACATGTTAAGATACCAGTAAGCCACGAGCCACGTGGCAACTTATAGATGAATAGAAATGGGTTAATTTAAGATAGAAGAACAGCTAGCAAGAAGCCTGCCATGGCCATACAGTTTATAAGTAGTATAAGTCTCTGTGTGTTTACTTGGTTGGGTCTGAGCGGGTGTGGTACTGGCAGGTGAGAGAGATTTGTCCTGACCGTGGGCCAGGCAGGAAAACTCTAGCTACAGTTCTTATCAGAATGAGCCATCTTTCTAGCTTCTATAATAATTTTTAACTTGATTTTAGTATTTTTTATTTGAATGACAACTTGAGGGTGAAAAGTACATTGATCTTTTGCTCTAGATCCGACAAAATTATCTCTAATAAGAGCTGGACACTAAGTTCGGGGATGGGACACAACCTAAGCCTCATGGCCACTCTTGGGCTTCTGAAAGGTGCTCGAGCTAGCTGTATGACTCTGTAGGAGCTAAACCAGCCTCCTGACCCTCAGTTTCCACACACTTACAGTGCAGGAGGGGCTGTGGAGACAGTTCAGTCAGTGAGGTGCTCGCCACACAAACAAGAGGCCCTGAGTTTGAAACCTCATAACCCATGTAAAACTAGTCACAGTGGCCACATCGGTAGCTCCAGTTTGAGAGTTCAGACACTGAAGGATCCCATGACAGTCTGGACAGAACTGCAAGTGAGAAATTCTGTCCCAAAATGTGAGGAGACGATACACTACATTGATCTCTGGCTTCCTTATGCACATGCACACAAACACATACATATATTGCCCTCCCTCCCACACCCCATGAGGCAAATGAATTAGACTTCTGTTTTTTAAGAGCCATCTGCATTCATGTATGGCTCCCCTAACACAACTAGAACTTGTCAAATATTCATTCATTTATTTACTAAGTTAAGCAGTTGGATATAATTAAGTACTAATTCTGTTCTTTGCAGTCATAGCCTTGAGAGGAATGGAAATAAGATATATGAACCTAAAATTTGGGTCAACAAGTGATTCATACAAGAAAAAGTTGAATAGCCTGGTCTGAACATGGTTGCTTGGGAAAGGAAGGTGAGATAGAAAAGCTGGAAGTAATGCCAGTTTATGGTAGAGAACAGTGACCGTGGGCTGTCTCCAATGAGCTTCAAATACAGTTATGGTCAAAATGTTAAACTAGGCCAGGATGGTGGCTTAGGCCTAAAATAAGAGCTACTCAGGAGGCTGAGCCAGGGAAATTGTAAATGCAAGGCCTGCCTGGGCTATACAGTGAGTTAAAGGTCAGTCTGGGCAAATTAGTCTCAAAGAAAAAGTAAAATAAGATTTAGGGAATGTAACTTAGAAAATGGAGTGACTGCTTAGCCCATGTGAGGCCCCTGAGTTCAATCCCTGACACTACCATCCCCTTAAAAGTTAAACTAGTAAAACTGTTCCCTGGGCTGAGATTGGCAATCCATAGAAGTACCTCAAGAGACCCTACCTTGGAGATGGTGTCACCATTTAACAATATCACAGATCACAAATGGGGAGCTGGAAAGAGGCAAGCTGTGAGTCCTCTTCACAAACTCTTCTCCCCAGTTCTAGGTGTCATACTCAGGACCTCGGTGTGCCATGGCCCTGAGCACCAGCAGGCATTCCTCATTGAGTTTCCTACAGATCTAACGCCCTGCTATGTGACATGGTTCCCTTGATCTTATTACTTCTCAGGTCCTCACACAGGTATCTGAATCTGAAACTCCTGTCATTGGACATTTTTCTTTCCCAACCTATCACCTGTGTGCAGGACTCACTAATTTCCCTGTCATCCGCATACCGTGGAATGGTATCCCATACCTTTCTTGCCTCTGTTCATAACTTTTAGACCCTTTGCTATCTATACCTTATGACCTAGCATTCCCATCTGTGGATGGATCTCTTGTATAATGTGGGTTTCAGCACCAGATCTAAAAAGTGAGCACATGACTACTCCGAGGGATGGTTGAAGAGAAGGTTTTTATTGTAGATGTGAGGGAGAGTACAGCCAGGGGCATTCCAGTGCAAAGTAGTAGACTAAACATGGCCAGTAGAATTGACTGGGTCATGAGAGGAAAGCAAAAGAGGAACATAGACTGTGTAACTGGAAGATTTCCTGGTCTTGCCCAGCTCCCGCATCCCATGGTCACCCAGACCCAAATGAACACACAGAGGCTTATATTAATTACAAACTCTATAGCATAATAGCTCAGGCATTTCACTAGCTAGCTTTTAAATCTTAAATTAACCCATTTCTATAAATCTATACTTTGCCATGTGGCTCGTGGCTTACTGGCATCTTTACATCTTGTTTCTCATGGCAGTGGCCGGCAGTGTCTTCTCTGTTCTCCCGTTCTCTTTCCTCCTCTCTAGTTAGAATATCCTGCCTAATCTTATTCTACCTCACCATTGGCCAAACAGCTTTATTTATCAACCAATCATAGCAATACATATTCACAGCATACAGAACAACATCACCCATCAGAGACAATAAAGAGGAGACAGAGCCAAGAGGACCAACAGCCAAGAGTGAGCTAAGAGATAGCATGGCTGAAATGGCAGGGCTTATAGGAATGAGAAGCTGGGGGAAAGGATGCCTGTGAGCTGGAGAAGTTTAGGGTTGGGGTGGGGTGAGAAGAGCTGAGAAGCTCCAGAATGCCAGCATGGACTTTGTAATAGGTATTTGTAATGTTGAGAGAGCCTGGAAGCCAGCATGCTCTTTGGTATGCTAATGGGCACCATAGTTAGCCATTTGTCTGGGTTTCTGTTGGACTTGGCATTTCTACACTCTCTACTCCTGGGCTTGACCGGCTAAAGAAAGGCCCAGAAATAAGTAGATGAATATTGGCAGGGAACTACAGATGTCTACTTCTATATAAACCCACCTCAACTGTTTCTCAGAGGACACACTTTGTATCTGAATTCATGAAGGAACACACTTTTCAACCCCCCCCCCACCGTACTTCCATGTCTTACAAATCCCCACATCAGTTCACCTCGCCTTCCCTTTTTTCTGTGTCATGGTGTCCTCCTTCTGAAACAGTGGTCCTCAACCCTCCTAACACTGCGGCCTTTTAACATAGTTCCCCTTGTTGTGGTGATTCCCCAACCATAAAATTCTTTTTGTTGCTACTTCGTAACTGTAATTTTGCTACTGTTATGAATTGGAATGTAAATACCTGTTTTCTGATGGTCTTAGGCAACTACTGTGAAAAGGGTTGTTCAACCCCTCAAGGGGTCACAAGCCACAGGTTGAGAACCACTGCTCTAGAATCTTCATATCTCCTCTAAGGAAGCCACCGCTGTGTTGTCCTTTGTTTAGTCTCCACTCCCTCTTGTATTGCCAGTTATCTCTACGCCCCCCTCCCCCAGTCTGTGAACTCGTTCATGCAGATCTTACTAAACAAATGAGCACAGCCAGAGGTTCCTCCGGCTGCTTTCTCTTCTCCCCTCGGCTCCGAAGCTGCAGGGTTGACCCACAGGGCTGGTGCTTCTTCCTCACCTCTCGCTCATTTTGGAAGTCTTCCCCATGGCTGCACTGACACATTTCTCACAGGACTAACCATAAACTTCCTGTTCCTAACACAATGCCCCCTTCTCCACTCACAGTTAATCCTGCATTTTCCTTCCTCCTCCCCCCTCTTTTCACCCTCTCCTTCCTCCCTTTTTCTCTTTCCTCCCTCCCTCCCTCCCTCCCTCCCTTTTTTCTTTCATTTAATTTTTATTTATTTATTTATTTATTTGGTCAAAGCCTCACTGTACAATCCAGCTTTGCCTCCCTTTCCCAAGGGTGAGGATTACAGCCTGGTACCATCAGCATTTTCTCTTGTGTATCTTTCAAATGCCAGGATTCCTCAGAGTCTTGTCCTTGGCTTTTTCTGGATTTTTCTGAGTAATCTTAGCCCCTCCTTAGTGACCGGATGCACATGACATTCGGCCCAGTTATCTAAAATGGAGTGGGCACCACCAGGGAAATCGGGCAGACAATGCTGAGTAGACAAAAATAAATGCCAGCTACATCACATGTGAATCACATCTACCTACCATTTCCCACCAGAAACTTACTTCCTTTCTGCTGATAGAGGAGTCAGAGGAAAGAATTCTGGATGTGGGTGTAATTAGTCTGGTCCTGCAAATAGAGTGAAGACCTGGCCAAGGGAGGAGAGAGAAAACCTGTTGATCTGGGTGTTGGAAGTGTGCATCAGTCCAGTGTGCATGAGAAGATGTGGAGGGTGTAGAGAGGGCTGAATGCCCTGGCTGACTGGGTGGTCCCAGCCAGGAGCCTTGCAAGCTAAAGTGGGTGGGCCGAGGACCGTAGTTAGTTAGGCAAGAAGCCAATGCTGAACTCATCATGGGATTGATGAGCTGAAACAGACTGGCTAGCAAAGTCACTCATACAATAGAGGATGTGGCAATTGGGTTTCCTGTAGTGGGATCAGAGGCTTTATGACGCTAGACAAGACCACTGAGTTTCTTCACAGTTCACATTGTGAGGATGTGCATTCTGAGGCTATTTTTACTTAATTTACCTATACACACAATGTATGCAATTGGCATTTTCTTCTTGCACTTCCAATTTACTTAATTGATTGGTTGATTGAGACAGGGTTTCACCTGTAGCCTAGGCTGGGCTGGAGCTTACTATACAGCAGAGGCTAGCCGTGAACCTACAGCAATCCTCCTGCCTCATTCTCCTGGGTGTTGGTATTGCATACGTGGCAGGCTATACTTTAAAATTTTAAACAACAAACATGTGTTCCTTTTATAGTCAGGAAAATAGAATTAAAAGAAACAGCTGGGTGGT